TTTGAGATGTATTTTTACATCACAAAAGGGATTTTTGATATTCATAAACATTGAAAATGAAGTTAAAGAATTAGTTAAAACTGAATTTAATAGTTTTTACTTTTTGCCCAAAATTTTCACGAATTTGTGTTATTTTGTTTGATGAAATTGACATTCGATGATCATGAAAATGAATCATATTGACAAAAAAAAATTATTTTTGTTAAAAAACAAATCACGGTCTGCGACCCTATTTCATCAGCAAAATATAAAAATTTAGCAAATTGAAAAAAAATTATACATTTTAACATAAAAATTCAAATCTTAAAACTAACAAAATCAGTGACCGAAACTGGTAGAGCCATTTTTTGTTAATAAAAACAATTTCCTGCAACGAGGAAAAGCCCGAACTCTTCATTTCCAATTTGGTTCATTTCAAAAATATAAATTAATATTTGAATCTAGAAATTGGGAGCAAAATTTACCAAAAATGGAGGAATATTTTCCATTGCAAGAAATTTACTTGGAAATTATCTTCGATTGAGATGTCAAAATTTATGAGACTATTGGATAAAAGATTCTTGTAACTTTCTATCAGAAGAATGAAAAAAGTTCAATCTTAAATTTACTTCACTCTTTTTTTCTCATTTTGGCAGTAGGAATTTTTACCGTTTCCCATCTAAATCTCATTGAGGAATAAATATCGAGAAAACCAATTCCGCTTCTGACCCCCTGCGGCCCCGAGCAGCAGACCTGATTGATTTTTCTTGGAAACGCTGGCCGTTCGATATTACACGCCGCGTCCAGTGCACCTTCCAGTAGAATTGGCACGGAAGGAATCTCGTTAAAAAGCAATTTTCTCTCCAGCAGCAGCAGCAGGTTCCATACCTGTGCCTGGTGTTTGAACAAGAGGCTTGCTTGGTGTGGTCAGTGTTGGAATATTTGAATTGGCCATGCACACGCACTCTAGGTGTTCCTTTCCGGCCGCGGGGGTCAAGCAAGCGAGCAGCTCGATCGGTCGCGCGCATTTCCTCGAAAATCCCAAGCCGCGAGCTGAATGCAAAGCTTCTGCTTTTTGAAAGCTGCAGGTGCATTGTAAAAACTTCTGGAGAGAAGAATCGAATGAATAGCCACGAGGCCTCACATGCCTCAAAATGCACTGCCGGGGATGAAGGACGTGAGGGTTGGCTTTGCATAATGGTCTTCTTCTTTTTCTCGCAGCAATTTGTGCGCCTCACAATAAAAGCGTCAAAATAATACCCATGCGTGCAGCGATCGTAAATTAAAATTTGAACAGGTTGGACAGGTAATTCGTTAAGAAATTGAATAAATTTTGAACAGATGCTGGCGAAATTATTTTAGATTGATAAATTTGCGCGTAATTCTTACATTAATAAGATAATAAATTGATGATTAAAGTAAATAATAGCTATTAAATAAACAATAAAATTAATATTTAAAATTTTTTTAACAAAGTTTATTTTTGTTTTAATGTAAAATTAGAATATTTTAAATTATTAAGTTTTTTATCTAATTTTTTTTTATTAACATAAGCAATAATTTTTTTTTTTTTAGAAACGCGTATGTTATTTTCTTATAATTAATCTTAATTTAATTTGTTATTTTAAAATTAATATAACTATCATTTTATTCAACTTTATTTTACATTAAATTGTTTTAAAACAAATATTGTTATCTCAACACCTTTTTCCATTTTTACGTCAGCTTTAGTTTTGGCCTAATAAAACATAATTTAATCTCAAACCATAAAATTTTTTATATTTTCATTATAATTATATGGTTCGACTATTATAATTTGTTAAAGTGTGAAATGTTTTTACTTGCTTGTATAATTAATTTATAAATTAACGACGTGATGGTTTAGTTGTTGCAATTTGAATGTCTCTTAACTTTATTTTCTCGACTGCTCGTCGTTAAAGAGTTTTAAATCGAATTATTTCACGGTTATGCCATTCAACTCTCGTCTGGCAAATAATATAATACCTCACAGAGCGAACACATTCCAAACGCCAGGGACATAAACCGCGCGGCTGTTCATCAGCACAATCGCAATTACGCCAAATTTATTGCAGGCATGACACAAACACATCTGCATGTGTTTGATGGGGAACACACACAGCAACACGATCCGTCCGAAGGCTAGGTGTGTGTATTTTACGGCCGCGCGGCTCCTCGATGCAGAGAGCGAGCGCGTCCCTCCCGGACCCCCCTTTTTCGTATGTATTCCGCCCAGCAGGGCTACTAAACTAACTACCTCGCCGTGCAATCTACATGATGTTCTCTCGGCTACTGGAATTCAGACCCGACAGATTTTATCATTATACACAACATTTTTATATTTCCCAATTGGTCGCTGGATCTTTCAAAACTCATTTCAAATAACTGTGATGCTTTTTTTTATTTTACCTCGGAGCGAGGAAAAATGCTAGTTTATTTTTATACTGAAATAAAAAAAATTAATGATCTGAATTTCTTAAATCGTACTCATTGTCGGTATAAGAATTTGAAATTAAATTTTTTTATCTTTTTTTGTCAAACCAAAATATTTGCATGATTCTGCAGCTCTTCTGCGGAGTCTCCTTTATTTTTTTCTCCTTTTTTTCAACATGCCTTTATGACTTTAACTCTTATCATGCTTCACAGCTCTCACGATTTCCAACACAAAATAGACTGTAGAGAATTCCTTTAAACTATTGTGTGTGCCTGCCAGCATCTCTGCTGCGATGCTCTTTTCTCATTCGGATGCTGTGTTCGGCCGCGCTCGCGGATGTCAAAAAGTGTGGGAATTTGAACGCGCAAATTCGGTAGAAACTTTTTAATAAAGTGACACTCGCAGCATTTTACAAACGTGGACTTTACAATTTATGGCGCAGTCAACACAACCATCAGCTGTAGTGAGTAAAGTTGATGGATGTCATCAGGAAGTTGCCCATATAGGAAATGGCAATGTTGAAAAATAAAAGCAGTCATCAGCAGTGCAAAAGTTTTGTTGTATTCGCTTTATAAAATTCAATTTGTTAATTTCGAAGAGACAAAATTTGAAATTACCAGGAAAATTCTCTAAATTTTCATTTTATAGAAAAAGAAAATTGTTTTTTTTTAATACAATATTGATCAGTCAAAATTTTTGTGTCATGCAAACATTTTTTTTTTTTAATTAAGAAAAAAGTAAAATTTATTTCCAGATAAAATTAAATGAATCGATTTTATATTTCTTTGGAATTTCCAATAATTTCCTGAAAAGCACATGGTGCTTTGCAATGCTCTTTTACTAACACAGATGAAGAGAGCATTTGACTGGTGTGCATCACAATGCCCCTTGTGATTGTTGTGTATGTTCGGCGGCGCCAACCCAGAGCCGGAGAATAGTACATTCTTGTTGGTGGTGAATGGTGTGTTTTTATCATTTACTCACTCCGCCGCATGGTGTAGTATTTGTCATCACGGCATTGTTACTCGAAAGCATAATGAAATCAGCTGATTTTGATAACACACAGAGAGAGTGAGTGCTCTGCTCTCTCTCTCTCTCACCATAGCACAACACTATAGCAGCTTTTCACATACAATTGTCCCCGCGCGCTGCTTTTATATGCATTTTATTATGCGCGCCATCCGACCCTGAACTTGAATAAAACGCTGCTTCCTCCTCCCTGCTCTGTGTGGAGCGCCTGCTTTTTAAAGGTTTTTATATCAAAATAGCACGGCCACGTCATAATGGTGACGTCACAGTGCCTTTTTGTGTGTGCACCCTTTTGTATAAAAGTTCACACAATGTACCAAGTCTAAATAGCTGCACCAGCCGCCGCGCGCTTTTTGCTTTTCTTTGCAACCCGCGCGCCGTTTACATAGAGAGCAGTATCATCGCATTGTCCGATGTGGCTTTTTTGTGTGCAAAAACCGATGCACAAAAAGACCATCTCTTTATATGTGCTGCACCGAGCAGTGCTCCTGTGGGTGATATTTAAACATCCACCCTGTCTGGCATCAACACGAGATCATATCCAATTAAAATTTCAACCAAAACCTGAATTAATAAACTAATTTATATTTACATTTGTGGTAGATTTTCGAGGGTTGATTTTAATTTTAAATTTTAATTTGAAGCCGATTTTGAATTCAAATCACCATATTTTATTATATTTATTAACTACCTATATAGATTTTTTTTTATCAAAAGTCCAAAAATGCCCAAGTTAACTTTTCAAACTCTTTTTGTCCATTTTTTATCTTCTAGAAATGGATAACAATGAAATTTATCAAATATTACAAATCATAATTATTGAGTTTGACCCGAAATTATCGAAAAAAATAATAATTAAAAAAAAAAATGTAAGTCTGCTTGCATTTTTTCATTCAGTTTGATTTATAAAGGAAGTGTGAGTAAAAAACATAATATTAAGTTTCAATTTTCTTTTGCACTGGTATCAAATTGTCATTGAATCAATATTATTAATTTTGAATATTATTTTATTCTATTTATCACTATTACCAAAAACTATAATTGAAGTACAAAACTAGAGGCTCAAACCCATAGATAACAGTGGGAACACAATACATACTTATTGGCTGGAAGGGCTTGGACTATAAAGAAAAAGAAAAATATGTTTTTGAATTGATAGAACAATATAAAATTGTACCAAATATTAAAAATAAATAAATTGATGAAAATTGAGTTAAACATTAAAATAAATGTAATTCATTCTTAATCATTTAAAATGATATTTATAATGCACTATTTAAAAAAATTTTAATAAATTATTCGTAAAATATTTAATTTTTCTATTAAAGTTTTGTGTAGAAAAGCTGGCGAGAGATGCGAGCGGAGCCCAATGATTCGTATACGGACATTGGTGCGCGGTCCCCACCTCGTCGGCGCAGAGCACGCGGCCGTGGTTGGCTCTCCGGCCATGATGGTAGGAGGGACTTGGGGCGGCTCTCGCTGCTCCGCACGCCTGGCGGCCGCGGCAGCAGCAGCGGCCGGCAGTACGGCAGTAGTCGAACTCGACAGTGAGCAACGCCAGGTCGCTTCCGAACAGTCGCTCGTCGCGCGCGCTCCTCGCACGCACCCCAGCCCCGCAGCTGCAGCCACCGAGAGGGACAGAAAGAAAGATCAAAAGAGCTGCAGCCTCAGCTTGGTTCGCTCTGCTCGTTTGCGCGAGCGACCGAGCCACGGACAGACAGTGAGAGACGGTTTGTGTCCAGTGTAGTGCAATTGCCGCCAAAGTGTTTTGTGGGGTGTACTGGGAAGGGTCGTCGCGACCCTCCCCGCTCGGCACGGCCGCCGGCCACCACCACCACCACCTGGGCAGCACGATCCTCGAGCCGCAGGCCCTCAGCACCCCTGCGTCGCAGCAGCCGTGCTCCGAGGACGAAGGCAGTCCCGGCGTCGAGACACCGCCGTCCGACCACATGCTGACCGCCATGGAGGCGTCCAGTCCGGACCTGAAACCGCACCACCTGCACCAGCACTACGGCGGCCTCTCGCTGGGCGCCATGCAGCAGCCCATGGGCCACCACCACTCGATGCAGGGCGGCCAGCAGATGGGCCAGCAGGCCACGGCCGCCAGCAAGGCGGCGCAGAACGCCGACCGCGTCAAGCGGCCGATGAACGCGTTCATGGTGTGGTCGCGCGGCCAGCGCCGCAAGATGGCCCAGGAGAACCCCAAGATGCACAACTCGGAGATCAGCAAGCGGCTGGGCGCCGAGTGGAAGTTGCTGAGCGAGACCGAGAAGCGGCCGTTCATCGACGAGGCCAAGCGGCTGCGGGCCGTCCACATGAAGGAACACCCCGACTACAAGTACCGGCCGCGCCGCAAGACCAAGACCCTGATGAAGAAGGACAAGTACCCGGCGATGGCCGGCTCCGGGGGGCCGGCGGGCGGGCAGGCGCCGGGCGCGACGGCGCTGAGCGCGTCCGAGCGCCAGAGCGCGCAGCAGGCCGGACAGCAGCTGGGCGGCGGCGGCGGCGGGTCGGCGTCGTCCGGCTCGCGCGGCGACATGTACGCGCAGATGCCGAACGGCTACATGCCGAACGGGTACGCGGCGGCCGCGGCGGCCATGATGTCGCACCACGAGTCGGCCGCCAGCTACCAGTACCAGCACCACATGGGCAGTCCGAACGGCCTGTCGTACCACCACCGGGCGTACGACGTGCAGATGCACCACCAGTCGATGCCGGCGTACATGAACGGCTCCGGCTACATGTACCCGTCGTCCAACTCGTCCGGCGCCGGCTCGCCGCTGTACATGCAGCAGCCGCTGAGCATCGGCGCGCCGCAGATGTCGCACTCGCCGACCAGCGTCAGCAGCATCAAGTCGGAGCCGCACAGTCCCGGCGGCCCGGCCGGCGGCGGCGGCGGCTCCACCAACGTGTCCAGCAACAACAACGGGCCCATCAAGCGCGAGCCGAGCAACCCGTCGGCGCAGTCGGCCGCCCTGCTGGCCGCCGGCTACGGCCAGCCGCAGCAGCAGCCGCAGCAGCAGGGCGACCTGCGCCAGATGATCTCGATGTATCTGCCCGGCAGCGAGGCCGTCGAGCACCAGAACCGGCTGATGCAGCACTACGCGGCCGCCCAGCAGCACGCGGCCCTCCAGCACCAGCAGCAACACTCGCCCGGCGAGCCCATGGCCCTGCAGCAGCCCTCGACGCCCACCCCGACGCAAGCCGGTATGCATCACCACCACACGCCGCTCGCAGCGTTGGCGCACATGTAGTGCGTCAATCGCTGCCCTCGGCGTTTCTTTTACCACAAAAATCAAATCAAATTTTCACTGTCGCTATTTTCAGTAACGTTCAAAAAGTCGCGAAAAATCACCCTTAATTCGAGCCAAAATCTTGCCTGCCTCTTCAATTTAATCAAAAAATTTATTTTCGAAAGACCTATTTTATTCAGTTTTTCGTTATGATTTAGAAATATTTATAACTGCTTTTTCTCGGTATCATTCCGAATAACTTTTTGCTCGGTTTATATCGCAAGAGCAATCGAGTGCAACCGCTACTCTCTTTTTTTTACCCTTTCTGTGTCAGCGTCCTTTGCCGTCATTCTCTCTTGATTTTTTCTCGCCTTTCCCGATGGCAGACGCCGATAAGCAGGATCAACAAAATCGTGCGTGACTCGTGATATTAGCGCTCAAAAGTCTAAACGCACCAAGATTGAAATCTGCGGCGGCCGATTGCTCATTTCGTTTCGTCACTCACTTAGCATTCACACGATCTAATTTGCGGAGATTTTAATGCTAGATAATTAAAACCGTTTGTTTCACCGCGAGTTTCATTCTCTCGTATTTTCATGATCTGATTTCGGGCGCAATCACCATCAAAGCGGCAGAATTGCGCGCAATTACACCAACCCTTGTATTCTTTTTCCAGCACTAATGACTTAATTTGCCGCGTTATTTCGTTAAAAGATAAGGGCTGATGTGGCAGGCAAGAGCGCGCTCAGAGACACGCGAGCAAAAGCACCGCCGGTGATATTTATTTCGCGCACACTCTTTTCTCTCTCGCACTCGGAAAAAAAAAATACATACAACCCTCTCAAAGTAGTACCTGTAAAAAGGCTGTAATTACACAAATCTGCCGCGCGGAATTATATAAAAAATAAATTTGGACTCGTTTTTTTTTTTAAATCCTTAGAATTCTGCTCTCCTTTGAGCGCGGTTCTTTGAAGATTCTGGAAATTTGCTTTTATTTACATTTTTTTTCTTAATTAAAAAGTTCTTTGTTTTTATTCGCCTTTTATAATTTCAGTTTGTTTTATGGTTTTGTTTTGTTTGTTGCGCAGGCGGGAGATGATGGACCGATGCAGGGAGCCACGAGGAGGAGGACGAGGACGATGATGATGGGTATCTCTGCACTGATCAACAGCAATTAGGGGACTATCAGCATCAGCAGTATTAGCCGAGCAGCAGCGCGGCCGCCTCGCCTGTGCCACGGCCCTCACCCACCGCCACAAAGTGACTCTTTCCCCGCGGACTCTCGTAAATTCGTATTAATTCACACTCACTACTCTGCTCGCATGTTATGTTAAAGAAATTTGCGTTTTGCCAGCCCCGATCGTATACGAGCGCGCGTTTTCACACATTATTATTATTATTATAGCGGATTAGGGGCAGCGAGCGATTTTTATCTGCGCGCGCACGCGAGTCCATAATTTATTAACGTGCATATCACAGATTATTAATCTACTTGCGAGAGGTGTTGAAACATGCGATTTGTAAATAAAAATACAAATTAGAAGAAGAAAAGGAACGAACGAACGCCCGAAAACGATTTTGTGTATTTCTTTCGACCCGCTGAGATAAACAAACATACGAGAAAGGCTCAAAACTATTAATTGTCCCCTCCGTACCGAATGTAGCTCCCTAAGTCACACATTTTTAATATACCCATCGTCACTCGACTGCTGAGATTTGTTGTTAATTAATATAATTCATCCATACCAAACTGATCAGAGTAGTTTTAATTAATTAATTTTTGAATAAATTTGTCTTCTTCATTTCGAATGCTGTCTCTGTTTTTGATTCTTTGTGTACATAAGAGTACAATTTCGACGCAGAGCAAGATTAATTCCTTATTTATTATTTGAGCGTAAATTCTATATGTTTGTCTTTCCCCGAAACTATATTTAAAGAGACCACAGAGGCCATAAGTTTACTCACGCAGAAATTTGGATCGAGGTGTTATGTTTTATGTCGATTTTCAAAATGAAGGCCATAATAATTTTAGTCATCTCTCACCTACAAATCACATTATTATATATATTAATTGATAAAATTTATTTGAACAGATAGTTTGTGTAATTATTGTAAAGAAGATAATTATTATTATTATATAACTCTAGGTTGAAACAACGAGACATCAAATTGATGTCTCGGTGTAGTTTTCAAATACCACAGGCGTTCCTATTAAAATATTGACGACAAAATCAGAAAATCTGATTGAAAAATAATATAAAATCTTGTTCAAAAATTATAATTTGCTCCAGCCATCCGACTTCTTTTCATTTGTATACACAGAAATGGGGCAAAATTGAGAGAGCGAGAGAGAAATTGATGAAATAATACAATTAATTTCCTGTCTGTTGCAAAAAACGTGGTGATTCTTATTATTTTTCTAATAAACTAGGCGCCCAACTGCACAAACATTGTGAATGTATGTGATTTTGTTGATAAATCTGCGACCGACGAGATTGGAAAGTAATTGGAAAAAAACGAGCTGTCAAATGTGTTGGTGAATTGAATGGACAGACACTTGTAAATATTGTGCAAAAATACAAAAAAAAATCCAACTGCTGTCACACACTCTCATCATGTGTTATTATATTCTGAATGATCGCGATTTTGTCTCGAAAAATTGTTATGAAATTAGTTTTCTCATGTGAAAAATTGAGAAATTTGATGTTATCAATTCCTTCTCATCAGCACACACAAAAACATACGAATTTTAAAATGAGATCGATGAAAGAAAGAAAGAAAGAAAGTTGTGCGCAAGAAAACAGTGACATATATACAAATGCGACAAAAATGCTGTTTCGTTTGCTATAGTGTTTTGTATAGAAAAAAATCTACCGTCTAAATATATACATAATCATTACAATTAAAAAAAGAAACATTGAATTTTATTTCAAAATTTCACAAATTCATACAATTCTGAATGAGAAAAAAAATTATTTCTTTTTTATATAAAAAAATTCTTGGAATAAATTTAACCGTTTATCAGCGTGGCAGCTCGAAGAGGAGTTTTTCCCCTGCATGCGCGCCGTCGGTCCGTGATGCTGCTGATGGTTTTTCTCTCTTGGAGCACCCAGAGTTGCCGGTCGTACTACAAAAAGTGCTGACTAGGGACTTAACCGTTAGAGAATCTCACTCGAAAAATATCTTGATTGCTTTCAGATATAGGAAGGAAAACAGCGCACTGCGCGGCTGCACACATTTATGCTCTTCAGCTTTTCACGTGAATCAAATTCCCAGCGCCTGTGAAATTCGGACGGATCTGGAGTGAAGATTTGGAAATGTTTTAAAAAGAGCTGCTCCAGTGAGAAGAATTAGCTGGGAAATTAAAATTAATTTCATTAAAAGACCAATATAATTATGCAACTAAATAAATGCTTATATGATTTTCTTATGTTAACATATTATTAATATAAATATTTTTATATAAATTATGTAATTATTTTATTAATTTAATTATTTGACATTTTCATATAATAAATTGGGATATAGTTTTTTTTTTTTAATTTTTAAATGTGTAAAAACTATTTATTACAGAAGATTTTAAGTTTAAGATTTATTTAATATTTTTGTAAAACTTGAGCAATTATTAAACTTTTTCCAAAAAGGATTTTGGCAGCATTGAGTTGACGTCTTATCCACTGATAATTTTGATATATTTCTAAATACTTAAAATTATAAAATTAAAAGTATGAGAGCTTGCTTCATCCCAAACCCAAACCAAATGATTTAGATTTGAATATAATTTTAATTATTGTAGTAATTGTAATTTCAATTATTGTAATTGGAATTCTTAAAACCAACAAAACAATTCTTTCAGATCATTTATTTATTTTTAGTAATTTAACATTAGCCAATTTTCCTCATTCAAATTTCCTAGATTTTCCTTATTTGCTCCTTTTTTTTTGTCAAAAATGTCAATTGAATTTCACGTGAAACATGAAGCGTTTTATGACGCATGCATGTTGGTCGCCGCCCAGCTTTTCGCTTTAATTTTGTTTGCATGACCCGAGACCCCGCGACGGCCGGCAAATCGTGCCCGTGCAGCACCCATGGCTTTTAAATGCGCAGCTCCTTTGAAACGGTTTATCCGCCGAAAAGTCTGGCAGCTCCATGAGTGATTGACGCAAATGCCGTCGCATTAGAGAGGCTCGAATTTCAGAGATGCTGATTGTTTCTTTTCGAAGGTGAAACTTTCTCAATTAAGCACTGCAGAGAGTCATGACGTCAGCTCGACACCAGCAAAATCACGACTGCGCCTCTCTTATATTTTCCTCGACTCGCCGAGTCTCTTTTATTTTTCGAGTCGAGGAGGAGAAAAATCCAGAGGCACTTCATCAAATCGTCGTAATATGCCGCGTTGTGCGCGGCGCGAGAAATCCCAAATATTTGCTCAGCGAGTTAGGAGCGTCGAGTGTTGGCCACGGCAGACCTGCCAACTTCTTGGGCAAACTTCTTTCGGCCCGGCAATAAAATCATGTGTTTGTCCCTCCAGTTATTATACAATATTTGTCTTTTTTCGAAACAGTGACACATGCACCTTTTGTTATGTTGTGTGTGTTTTTTTTCTTCCATGTATATCGGCCGCAAACATGCCCAGCAATTATAATGCGCGCCAGATGCTGTCTTGAGAAATTTTAACGAGCCGTGGGATTTTCTCACTTGTCAGCTTGTTTGCTGTTCTAGTTGATTTTCACCTCGAATTTGTCAGTTTTGACTTAACATTTTTCATTGCCATTTTAGAGAATTTACGTTTTGAACATTAATTATTTACCTGGACTTAAGTTACAAATATTTTTTTATTATTTGTGTATAAATTCTAGGCCAGTAATATATCAATTTCTCAAAAAATTTTAAATATTAAACGCATCTTAAATTGTCCTGTCCACAGAAAAAAATTCAAAATTTTCACAATCAGGAAATTATTACGAAAAATTGTGTGCCCGAATATTGATCAAAAACTTTGTATTTCTATAGCAATTGTTTTTATCTATTTATCATAGATGGCTTCAAAATAAATGTATGCAAATTTCATTTTCATTTCTGGTGCATGCATAAATAAAATACAAAACATTATCTTTCAACAGGCATGAACTGCGTGAACTTAATTTACGCAGGAATAAAACATTGCATTAAAAATCTCGCTTTAATTATAGGTGATTAAATAAAGAAATAAAAAACAAATAATTTGAAATTTACCCTTCAGAGTTTGAGAGCAGTTAAATTCAAACTGTTTGATAAGCAGAATTTACTAATTGGGCCCCAATTAAAAAGCAACTAAAGTTTTAATTTAATAAAATTATATTTAAAAAAAATGTAAATTTTACAATACTATTAATTGATATTAATATTAGTTAAAATTTTATTTTATATTATTTTATAGAATTAAATATTAATTACTTTAATTTATTTATTCCTTATATATTACTTTCTTTGTTTAAAGTTAATTATATATTAATAATTATTGTATTTTTTTTGTGACAACTAATAAAGAAAACACATCAAGAAACTATTTATTTTGCATGGTTGGTGATTATCTTGATTGAGGTTCATCCCTAATGAGTAGACTTTGAGCATAATTTCAGGTTGAAATTCAAATTACCATTGTAATATTTAATTCTTATTATATCAAAAATAAAGGAAGTGAGAAAGGAAAATAATGAACTTTATTTAAGAGCGAAATTAATTTTGGTTTTATCTTTGGTCTCATAATTAATCATTTCTTGTATAAAATTCAAGTTAATTAACATCAATTGTACAAAAATGATTGCAAAATTATTTCTTATTTGTTTTTAAACAATTAAAAAAAGTGATGTAATGGTTGGGTAATTTTCGTCATGAAAAAACGCAACATCATTTAGTTTTAATTTTACGACTTATTTTGCGTGCCGGGCACTGAACGCAATCCAGCGTGTCCAATCACATTGTTATCTCTCCTGCTATAGTATGAAAAAAACATATAGACCAGGAAAATAGAATATGGGATATATTTACAGGAGGAAATGGTCGTTTCGCCCCTGTGACTGAGTGCGAAAGTCGGTCAATGACGCTCGCTCGCGGGATCCGGCATTATTCGAGCGCGTCCAGAAACAACTGCATTATGACGATGATTTTATTTATATATTTATTTCGGCGGAGCAGCGAGAAAGAATGAAAATTCCTTTCCGTATCACAGGCGGCGGCCGCGGCCGCTCCCCCAGCAGCCCCCGGTGCACGCAGCACCCTTGAGGCCTCCACATCCTCCCCTTTGTACCTCTGCACAGCCACCTGGTCACCCCTGTCAACCGCCGTCATGAATTATTCATGAAAAGAAAGAGACGTGCAGAGCTGGCGCGCCGATGCCTCCCCCCGACCCTCACTCCAAATCTTTTCAATAGCCGCAATCTCGGCGGTCTTGACTTCGACTCTGGATAGGTCGCAAACAGCCTCTCTTTCGCCGCTGCATAGTAATCAGTCGTGCAGCCGTATGCAGATCTTACGTGACCTCTTTTTGTCCCCGGAGCACAGGACGGACACGTCACTTCCTTCCTCGCCGCAGCCGCGTCCATTGTTCTTGCAGCTTTCTTCGCAGATTCCGCCAGAGGAAAACACCAAGATCGCTCGCATGTGCGCAATATTTTCCTAAGAAAATATACAAAAATTGCGTTGAAACTGATAGGGAATTAAAAAAAATATTAAGGAAAAACGTCTATTTTCAATTGAATGGCAAAAATCTGCGTAATATCTTTTTTTTAAATATTATTCTTTTCTACAAGTTTTAATCTCCTTTGATCTTTGCTAATCTTGCGTCTAATCCAATTTTGTAAGAAAGAAGCATAATTAAGTCGTCATTGAAGAAAATTTTAACTAGTACATTTAATAAAATCAATAAATTTTAAATTAAAAACATTTCGCATTGAATCTTAACTTTTAAATAATTTTTTTTTAATAATTATAATTTTATAATTTAATTTTTTTTAATCCTCAAAATTTAGTTGAAACACTCACTATATATTAAAAAAAAAAAATTTGTAATTAGCAATATAGAGATTAATCTTTATATATATAAAACACTTTCCCGCATAATATTTGCCATGAACACCGCTCATAAGTTCATATTCTGTCGTTCTGGGGACCTTGATATAAAACACTCATAATTGCGATCCATTTAATCATTAAATATAACACAAAAATTAATTACAAATTTTTTGAAACATCATGTTTAGCTGCATCCTTGCCGTAATTATATAATTTATTCTTAATCTTCATTTCATAATTTTGTTATGAGTAATGAGTCATTATGATGTCAAATATTTTAATATCAAGTGATGTCATTTCTTTTATATATATATTTTTTTTTTTTTTTTAGTTTATTCAAATTGTAAAATTAAGTCTTACAAAAGACTGAAGAGAAAAAGTATATGAAGCAGATTTTATTTTATTTGTGGAGTACATTAACAACAAATTTTCAAAAATAATATATTAATAAAAATTCATATTGGTAGTAAAATTTTGAAGATCAGTAGATTTTGGTTATGTTTTTGAAAAATTTAGGTAAAAAATTAAATTTTTTTAAAGGGAATGCGCGAAATTAGATTAGGGGAAATTAAATGTATTCCAACTGGTTGATTAAATTGTTTTCAAATTTCATGTAGGTCAATTTACTTGATCACCTATTTGAAAATTTTTTTTTTTTTTAAATACAATAATTATAGGCGATTTGAATTTAAAATCCGCTTTTCGATGGATTTTTGTGAGTTGTTTATTGTTTCAGAAAAAAAATATCCTGCTCTACGTCATGTTTCGAGGAAAAGCCAATTTTAAATTCAAATCACAATGAATCAACCCTCGATCGTGAAATTCTACCACAAAAATAATTTTATAATT